GAAATTGCTTACACTTTTAATAACGATATTTGAGTCTACGATACCGAAGCAAAGCCAACACCAAAGGTTAATCATTTACGAGAAAAGGAAATTTCGTGGTAACGTGATCTGTCTCGGTGCTCCCACACAACGCAATTATTTCCGATTCGTTTCGGGCCGCGTATCGTTGTAATTCCACCGCTACGACCAAAGGATCTCAACGAACAAAACGGTTTTGATCCTTCGCGTGGAAACACCTGTTCCGTAGAATTTACTTGAAAGTAACAAGAAAACAAGGAACGGTTGAATCCGTCGTTCCTCGACCGACAAAAGCGTTAAAAGAAAAAGGAAAAACAGCAGATTTGCCTCTAAATTGAAAGAACAAAATCGCAAAAATTAATCTCGTCGTAAGGTTGAGAAGCACCGTTGGTGTACACCTCGAATCGGCGGATTTGTGCCGTTTTAAGGGGAATACCGCTTTCCCTTTCTCGTTTTCGCGCATCTGAAACGCCGTGGAACGGCGTAGACGCCATAAAACGTTCCGTTGCGTGAAAACGAGAAGCATCCCAATAGGGGAAGTCCCACAAACGAAACGGTACAGAAAGAATCCGTATCATCCGTTGTATGTACAGTTATATACTTAATATACATGGTCCTACATGCGAATGAACACCCATCTCCAGAATGTCTACATATTGTTTACTTAATTCTACTATTTTATTTATATAATCGAACAAAGTAGTTCCTCAATTTATTTCGTCTGTACCTATTAAATTGAGTGTAATATTTAAAGAGAACAAAAGTGTTAAAAAGATTTATGGTAAGCAACTATTCCACTTATTCGCTAACATAAGTTAATCGATAATGTTATTCTGTTTTAAAACGAATATTTCCGAACGTTCGAATAATTAATATTTATTAGACATTTCGTTAAACTGATAACAGTACGAACCGCCAATTATTATATCGAGATATTTAATTGTTTTGTTATTTAGCTGTTTATCGAAATAAATTTGAAAGATTTTTTTTTTCTTTAAAATTATCTTTGCGCTAGTGACTTAATTTTAATCACTTATTTAAACTATCACAATTAAGAGTTTACCGGGACTCTACTATATTATTAATAAAGAAATAAATTAATGAATGAAGAATTGTTTTTCTTTTTTTATTTTTTTTTTTTTAAATATTTCCTTCGTATAAATAAACGATGTTACGGTAAATAAATATTTGTATTTGTCTTATCACACGGTAACTATATAGAAGTCTTTCTTTGGGGAAATAAATCATCGTTAAAGAATAAGAAAACTATTTATATGTTATTTAGACAATGTTTAATTGGCCGTAGGATTATTATTTAATTATTTCGTTCGAAGTTCCTCTTGGAATTGAAATATTTAATATTTAGTTTACCGATCGGGCAATTCACGGGACAAATTTATTAATTTTTATTGCAACGAAATTACGCTCGATTCGCGATACTCTCGGAAATTATAAAACCAATTTATATATATGATGAGGAGAATATTAACGAAATTTATATGAAATGCTTTGAAGAGATTATGTTTCATTCTTGCATGCGCATGAATGTTATATTATGAATAAGCTCTGTCGGAAGAGGGGTCAAAATTTTAATAAATGTTAATCCTTCAATTGCTGTAGTGATTTTTGTTGTTAATCAGCGCCACTTTCCACTCTAATTAGGAGTACAAGTTGATCAAAGAAATAGCTTGATCAATGACGAATTTGTTCGTTTCTCGAATTTTCCATCCACAATTTTTCGTTAATAACAATCGGAATCTAAAGGCGTACTAATATTTGCAACTATCCTGTATTTGTTCGTAAAAAAATCCTGGATGGAAATACTTTCTTAAACAACCGCATCATTTTTAAATCATAACCTTTCGTTCGACAATTCTCTTTCCACTCAACATCAAAACGAAATGAAATTGAAGGAGAAAAAAAAACGATAGCGAAATCAATGAAAATCAGTGTCGATGATTAGGGCGTTCACCTAACATTGCGTAAACTATTAATCGAATAAAATACACAACAAATCAATTTCGCTTCGCTTCTCATTTCGAAGTGAAACCGTCCCGTGCGTTGTAAAGCTATAAAACTTTTAAACAATTTGAGAACGTGGTTTAATACGATTAAAAAGAAATGTTCCCTCTGCCGATTCTATGAAACCGTACAGCGAATAATTCGGCGTTATTTTCTAAGCTTTCCGTAGTTTCGCTTGTTCGTCGAACTCATCGATTTCTACATTCGTCTCTGACCATCGCGTTTCCCTAATTGATTTCGATTAATACGTCTAATTAAATACATCTACTTAGGCTTAGATAATTCTATGTAAGGCATGGAGTATGTTATCTTGTTATCAGGTATGTAGATTATTCGTATATCTTTATCTCAAAATGTTCTTTACCAACTCTCTCTCTCTCGCACACACACACACACGCCCACACGCGCGCACGTGCTCACACGCACAGACGACCGTTTCCGCGTATTTGTGTACGTCTATTTCGTCGCTCGTATTATTAAACGATCAATTTGTTATCGAAATCTTCGTCGAACGAAAAATACTTTACACGATTTCTTTGTCGCGAAAACGCGCCCCCTTGGCTTGCAATATTCTTCGTTTCCGGTGATTTAAACTTGACTCATAAATTTCTAACTATTTGAACTTGTTGTTTTTCCCCTCTTACTTTCAATGGCATTCAATCACGTTTCGACTTACGTTCAATTGCATCGACCAATCGATTGATTAAAATATTCTGTTCCGTAATTTCTATTAACTTCACCCGTTCGCAGAGAAACTTGATTTTTTTCTTTAATTGTACTACACGAAGCTCTTTGAGATGAGCAATAATATCAACTTATAGCAATTTATTCCTGTCGTTCCTACGATCGAAGTTGTTATTAATTTTGAAAAGTTTCATTTTATAAATCAAATTCGAATTTCTGTTCAATTATAAATTTGTTGATTGTTAATTTATATTATAAGGAAATTTCGACCAATAGCAAAAGAATACTTTCGAAAAATTTTAATCAACGAGTCTAAATTTCAACCAAGTTTCTTGCTCTTTGGCGAATTTCAGATGCGCACGCGTATATCCGGATTAACCATACAATCGTCTTCCGATTTTTCATGAAAATCACAAGTAAAACGTCGAGAAACAACTACCATTCTTCAGCAACTCCTATATAACCTACTGTAAAACTCCGACAAATTGTTTGTCCTAAGTAAATTAGCTCGTTGATCAATGACTAACTTGTTGGTTCCCTATTAATCAATAAATTAACAATAATTAAAGCCCGATAAAGCGTGTTAATTATTTATTAATTATTCATTATTAGTGCAACCATCCATCACAAGGGTTTCTGTCTTTCATTACCCCTAATTATTTTGTATTATTATTACTATTATTTACAAATTCTTTAGTCTTAGAAAATATAATTTGTGAGAAATAGAGAATTCTAGCAATGAAAAATATTGTTCCACGAATAAATTCGTTTGAAAACAAATTCACGTAAATTTTGTTCGAAACGTTCGATAACGAATTCAATTAATTCCGTATAATTCGCACTCATGTAATAATAAAACTGTACGCGAAAATGTAAGTTTACATATTCGACGAATATATAATTTAAAATAATGTTGTAAAATTATTTACAAATTTATGGAAAATATTTAGAAAGTTTATTGCACGAAACAGCTTTGCAATTCAGTTTACGAGAAATGGCCTGTTTTTTAGACAGAAAAAATAACGTTGCAACGAGAAAAGCTAATTTTCAGTCGTAATGTTAGAAAATAACTGTACTACTGATTGGATTTTCAAAAGTTTCTTTTGGAAATTTTAATTACTGCCTATTAATTTTAGAAAAGTTATTGCTACGTTCATCATTTTATATGTAAAATTTTTTGTCAAACTTTTTTACCGTCGACATTATTTTTGTCATTCAACAAAATCGATCGACTTTTTTTTTTTATTAATTGTATGTAAAACAATTGAACACTGCTTAGAAAGCAATGGGAAGATTTCACGATGATTCATATTTGCATTTAAATGCTTTATGTGTATACAAATATACAACAATGTATAAACGAACGATGAAATTTTATCTACGTACAGTGACTAAATATTAAAATTGTCAACAGAAATTGCACATTATTACTTTTTTAATTATTTGTCGTTCCCAATGACAGACAAAATTAATAAATCTGTTAAACGGATGAAATTCATTTTTTCAAAATATACCGAGATCGACTCATATTTTTTTTTTTTTAACAAATTCCTACGGTATAATTCGAATAAATTGAAATCAAATGATTAAATTACTGAACACGTTATAATATAAAATTATAATAATAACAGTATAAATTGCAAATTCATTAGGCCTTACATCTTTTGATCGATATATCATCGGGAGGCCTCGTTCGAAATTGTCATCAAATAATAATTAATTGCACTTCGTTTAACGTAATTAATTTCAGATTTGTAATCAAACTGTAATCAATGTAAAACATAAAATATAATTCATAACGAAATATAATATTTTGCATTTTAAATACTCTTCACGGAATCGATATAGTAAATAGATAACAATACATGAAGAGGAGACAGAATCGATCTCGATAAAAATACAAAAATTCGCTAATTCATGGTTTTAATGGAAACCAAAGAGATGATAAAATTACAAACAGTAAACAGAGAAAGATGTTAACTTACGAAGTTAAATCGACTATTTAATTCCCCGTCGAAATACCATGTTTTATTTGTTTAAACCTTTCATAGGCCTTGTAAAAATTATTTAGCTATTTATGTGTATATATATATTTATCTATATTACATATATATATATATATATCACCAAATCAACAAATAAATATCCTAAATATATTAAATATCGTATAATAGATGCTCTCCCAACAAATAATATATAACTTCTCAACTATTTTCGTTAATAATAGTTCAATATAATTATATCTATGCATATGTACCTGTATATGTATATACACATACATATACGTATACATATATAAATTCATTTATTTATTTATATTTATATTTTTCTTCATTTCATTAATTCTTCGGTTCATTTGTCTATTTATTTGTTTAAACCTTAGGCGTTTATCTATACGAAATTGACTACCCTTGTATCCCGGTAGCTTTGCTTTTGTTTTTCTTCTTTCGTTATTTAATTTCTAATACGATCGCCGTTGTTGCGACGATAAATAAGCAACGAACTAGTAAAATTATTTTAAAAGTTATGCAGACGTGAACGTCGCATTATTAGAAAAAGAAAACATGGATTGTATTAGTTCTCCTTAGAAATAAAGATAATTAGGAATTAATCAGGCATAAATTCAATTTGTTTCGATATCCTAATTGCCTCGTCCGATGTCTTTCTAAGGGGTTGCTAGCGCTACATCTGCTCACATTTTATTATTAACGTTTTTCACGATTTTCGCAAATCTTGAAATAATTCGATTCAATCCGTCTCGCGGATGTTTACTCGAAGAGCATTCATTTTCTCTTGCTCGTTGTAATTTTTTTTGCTTTCGAATTAGATACCATTTATACATAGCTTTTCGAAATTATGTTATTTCCCTATAGTTTATATTCGGCATAATTACGTTTGTTCTACGTTTAGATCGATTTAAATTCTGTTTCAATTCAAATTTAACGAACCAATTTAATACTCCCAAAATTTTTGGTCACTTGTTCACCCGAATTCACGTCGAACGACCTACACGATTGTGTGTGTGTTTTTTTTTAAACCGATTTAGATTAAACGAACGATTACTGATCGTACAAAAGATAATTTCATCGGTTAATCAAGGTTTATAACTTCGTCCCAAAAGCAATAAGTAGTTTATGTACCTGCTCGAATCTCGAGGAGGAAATACAGGCTGGTCCAGGCAACTACTGCTACCTAAATATCTCCGAAACTATAGAAAATAGTTAAAACGCTATAGAAACAAAAACACCACGGTCCAAGGGAATCCGTATTACAACAGGAATAGAAACACGTGTTATTCGATTTAAAAAGTAAAGGTAACCATTGTATCTCAAGAGCACTTAAGCATACAACCACCCACCGTTGTTTCAATGACATTTAGTTGGCAATAATTGCTGCACCTTCTCGTGCACGTGCTAGTGTGATTTCGAAGCTTAACGTAATTAACGAATTAACCTTATAAATACTTTGATCCTAAAATTAGCTTCGACGTCATCTCAATGAAAGGGTAATCGATCCTCAAAATAATTAAATTTGCCAACGGCCCCGGGTCATGTTTTTGGAGTTTACCAGCTGAATCCTTCAAGTAACTTCGCCTACTAGGTATTATCAAATACCCATAAATCATGGGCCAGATTAAGCCATGGATCAACTTAATCGAAGAAAGTAAGATCAATGCGTCGACGGTCGAGATAGGGTGAAGCAGGAAGGTTTCGTTCCAAGGAGTCCTTACAGTCAAATGAACGCTCCGAAGTTCTTCAAATGTCCGAAGTTGCACGTTCAACGCACCCCTACTTCCTCTCACTTATCCTCCGGATTTGCTCTCGGTGATCTTTCTGTTTCCTGTCTCTCGCTGCGAACAGAGATCAACTCCTCCAAATATTTTTCTCCTTCAAAGCAAACATGCGGCTAAAGAATCCTCGTTCGATCAGAAAACCTATCTCTATTTCTATTTCTCCCCTTTAACGTCACTTTTCAAACGACTGTCACTGTCTAGACTGAACGAAATATACGTAGTTGTCTTCAAACCCGTTAAAAGATACAAGAAGAAACTAACAAGTCAAATGATATGGCACAAAACCGCGGGTAAGGATCGTTACTCTACCATTTTCTATAACCGTCTATTGTACACTGACGCTGAGAGTGTTTGAGCGTGTAGTCTTGTAACTTCTAGATCCATAGATCTCGAACATCTCTCCATTCCCCAGCGAAACCACCACTAGGGAGTTATAACTCAGAACGACCAGCATTCTCATCTTTTTAAATCACGCAAGAAAGTGACCTAAGTGACTTTCCAGGACGCCCAAATATATTTAATTGTAAAGACTTCTTCTCGTGGGTCTTCCTTCCCGAATCTAGCCAATTTTTTTATATTTTTGCAATTCTCCCGGGATCGAGACCCGGAATCTTGTATCGTACGATGCTCGTCAACTTCACAAGTTACCCCTATATTTTGTAGGGGTTTTTAAAAATTTAAGATCTCCTCGTATCTCTTTCACGTTTTTCGTTTTATGTTTGTGACATTCTACTTCAAATGAACCGTATCAAATTATCAATGAACGTATGGACGTATAGAGATTTACGAAAACAAATCGATAGCAACATATTATCTAACTATTGATAAATATATAATTAGAAACAGAAGTGGACTCACCAAATGTATCTAATAGACTTCATCTTAAGTGCCGTCGAGTTCTCCTTGCACTTGTAAGCCAACACTTGTTTCACGCTGCTCACGTCGACAGTGGGAAATCTCGATGTTACGTAAGCTGTAAAATTACAATACAAAATGCATTTCGTTTATCGTTTTCGTACGTATACCATATTTCAAATATTTCTGGAGTCCACAAAAGTTTATAGATGGACTTTTTCAGAGAAAAAATTAAGCAGTAACTATAATTATACAGGATGTCAATCAATTTCTTAATTGAGGCTTCGTTAAAAAATTATTAAAAAATTTCAAATCGTTCTAAAAAAATTATTTTCGATTGCAGGGATTAATTACAACCATTTTTGGTCAATAGGCATACCCTCAAAATCCTAACCATTTTCGAGAAAAAAATTCCTTACCGGAAATATAATTTCTGGCCAGAAATGTCACACCAACATTTCTTGTGTATCTTTAAAACATCATAACTTCTGAACGGATTGAAGGATTTTAAAGTTTCAAAATGCAAATAACGCGTATTTTAGTGACGAATATGTAAAAATCCTAACAATATTGAAAAAGTTGTTCCGTGACTCCGTAAAGTGAGAAAACCCCCATAAAAATGGTCCAACTTTCAAACAGCCATAACTCCTACAAGAGTGAATATATTTCAATGAAACTTTTTTCTGAAGTAGAGCACATGAGTACCTACAAAAAAGTATTAGACAACTTTTCTATAGAACGTCGAACAAAATTACTAAAAATCAAAAACGAATTTTTAAGAAAAATCAACAGGGGGTAGTGCCTAAATTTTTCGGCGAGAAAAAAAAATTTCAAATCGTTCTAAAAAAATTATTTTTAGCTGCGGGGGTCAATTGCAATCATTTTTGGTGAACACGCATACCCCCGAATTCCTACACGATTTCGAGAAAAAAATTCATGAAGGTGGACAAATTGCCGTTCTACAGACGTAACTTTGAACGTTAATAACTTTTTAACGAAGCCTCAATGAACAAATTTGTATTCTTGATTTTCGTCTTATTTTGGCTTCTAGAATCTCCCATTAAAATTTTTTCCTGTATAAATGAAAAAACAAAACTACCAATATTCGTAAATCGGTATTTTTTAGATTCAAACGAAGTTTTTGATTACTGTGCTCATCTTTTTTATTGCCCATTTTAAGATGGTATAAAACCAAACTTATTTGTTTATTTTCCACCAAATACTCATACAATAAGGAGAAGCTTTAACGATTGGAGACGAGCAAAGTTTGCTGAGAGGAAAGATAGGACTTTATAAACTGGAATTCCAATTCTTGTGCTACCTATTTTTGATCCAAGTAAATGTTTAGACACCGCTGAGAGTTTTCACGGCTTTATTCTTGGATATCCTGTGTTTACCATGTTTCTTGATACGCGTATTTTGCATTCCTATCCCATGTTTTGTTTAACCTTATCGAATCGATTGTTCCGCGAAATCCATGAGAATTCAATACGACTATACGTGGAAATGCCTATGGAACTAGTTGTTTGTTTCGAAGGGATGTTATTATTATAGCGTAGAGCATTTTTTATCCTGGCAGTGCGAGTTATATTTTTTTGAGATTTCAGTGTTTGCTGCACTACAAATTGCCAATACCGCGTTAGAAAGCAAACAGAATGGTACGAATCCGAGTAACAATGTTGTATAATGTTTTTGTGAAAGAAAGGTAGTCAACGAATGCGACTTTCAATTGTGACGATAAGAATGGTTTGCATTCGCTGTTACGGAAATAATAGTCATGACTTAATGTCGCGAGGACACGCAACTTAAGGAACGTCATTAAAGCGAGGAAGAGATCTGTGTAATTCGGTTCCAGACTTCATTCAACTAATGCAATGCAAGGATAGTCAACTGGCTGGCTTGTCGAGGGCCTGCTCACGAAATGATCGATACGATTCCTTCCTATCCGTGATTTTATATTCCAAGGAGCCAGCATTTGCCAACATTGCCGACGTTAATAGACACAATTTACATTATTGGTCCTTTGAAAATCCGCACTGAATATAAATGGCGTCTCCGTATCGATGGCTAAAACGTTCGTCGTGGTATCATCGATAACGTATTTATCGGGCCATGCTTCTTCGACGGTTCCTTAAGTCCTCGACGACCATAAGCGTACCACTGCATCGAAGTGGTCAACGATACCATAAACGTACAGACACAGTGATTGCCTAGCCGCTAAAATTACTACGATGATATTAGTGCAGATGCAGTGAAAGAAATTATTAATCCTGTTCTTAATTTTGTAAATATAAAGGGTATAGCCGAATAAGGGGGTAAAATGTGCCCTTGAACCAAAGACATACGATGGATCCATCGATAGAGCATCAGAAAAAAACATTCGGAAAGGTAGTTATAGGGAAAATCCGGATTAGCGAATTAATGCCTATTCCCTCTATTTAAACGAGTACAAAAATTATGAAAAAATTTTGGTGCATTGTGGTTATTGAGATACGTGTTCGAAAATTGTTTCCGATTTTACGAAAAATTAAAAACGCAAAAAAACACAGAAAAGTACCGTTTTCGCATTGAAGCTTTCGAGACACTAGATTTATATAATTACTGTAAATGGATATTATCATTGGTTATGTCCCTGAATTTTTCCAGATTTTTTGGCCGGGTGCGCCGTAGTAGCAAAAATCAAAAACCGTTATTTTCGGCGTTTTTCGCGTGAAAAAGCAACTTAGAGAAACGATGGAATAGAAACTACTCCATAATTGTTTTTGTGTACATTTTAGGTGAAAATATTTTTAAATATTTTAAATAGATTTTCATTGTTATACAGGGTGTTCGGCCACCTCTAGCAAAAATTTTAATGAGCGATAGTAGAGGCCAAAATAAGACGAAAATCAAGAATACCAATTTGTTGATGGAAGCTTCGTTAAAAAGTTATTAACGTTTAAAGTGCCGCCCTTACTGAATTTATTTCTCGAAAATGCGCAAGATTTCGGGGGTATGTCTATTTACCAAAAATGACCGTAATTGAACCCTACAACCGAAAATAATTTTTCCACAACGATTTGCAATTTTTTAATTTTCTCGAATAATTTCACACCTTCTCTATTTTTTTTCTCGAAAGTGCGTACGATTTCGTGGGTATGTCTAATGACAAAAACTGATTGTAATTGACCCCCGCAACCGAAAATAATTTTTCCACAACGATTTGCAATTTTTTTTCTCCGTTAAAAAATTTAGGCACTTAATTGGATTTTCAGTAAGGAATTTTTTTCTCGAAAGTGCGTACAATTTCGGAGGTATGTGTAATGATAAAAAATGATTGTAATTGATCCCCGCAACCGAAAATAATTTTTTTAGAACGATTTGAAAAATTTTTTTTCGCTGAAAAATTTCAGCACCTACTCGATTTTTTTTCTCGAAAGTAGATAGGATTTCGGAGGTATGTGTACTCACCAAAAATGATTGTAGTTGACCCCCGCAACCGAAAATAATTTTTCCAGAACGATTTGAAATTTTTGAATTTAATTGTTAATAACTTTTTAACGAAGCTTCCATCAACAAATTAGTATTCTTGATTTTCGTCTTATTTTGGCCTCTACTGTCGCTCATTAAAATTTTTGCTAGAGGTGGCCGAACACCCTGTATAGTTGAAAATTGAAAAAATATATAATTAATAAAATAAAAAAACGATCCTACGTTTTTAATTTTTCACATCTAGAATTTGGAATCGAAAAATCAGAAAAAATTCTCAAACACGTATCTCAATAAGCACAATGCACCAGATTTTTTTCATAATTTTCATACTCGATTAAATAGGGGAAATAGGCACAAATTGGCTAATCCGAATTTTCCCAATAACTACCCTTCCGAACAAGATAGAGGGTTGAAATTTGGCACAGAATCTTTTTTTCTGATGCTCTATCGATGGATCCATCGTTTGTCAAATGTGGTTCAAGAGCACATTTGACTCCCTTATTCGGCTATACCCTTTGAATAAAAAAAAAAATTCTCAGATACGTATCTGATTCACTAGAATATCTCAAATTTTTCACCAGGTAGCCCAAAAGAAATCGATCCAAAATAAATTACGTCTAGCCTAACAATAAGGGTAGGAGGCTGAAGCTGTGCAGGAAGGGTTTTCTTTGAAAGCCCTTATCGACTGACGTATCATAAATTCAATTTAGTTTAGGGATACATTCGCCATGCTCGTTCGACTACGCCCTTTAACGACAGGTAGACAGGACACGATGGGTTTATTGTGTGGCGTTCTCGTTCACCTGATCTTACACCGCCAAACCTCTTTCTTTATTACAACGTCGTGTTAAGTTTACTCAAGACAGCCGAGGGATTGAAAAATAAACAGAAGTAGAAATAATGAAAGATACTTACATATGATGGCCTGTACTTTGGCTTTATCTAACGCAGGTTTCACTGGTCTTTCGGTAGCAGTTCCAGCACGGCTCCATCGTTGTCCTGTAACCGAGCAGGTGGCCAGCTCGGTGGGGCTGAACAGAATTGCTGCTAGACCACGTGTCAATTTCCTGTAATCGCTCCATTTCACAGCCCTCAGTTGTTCCTCGCAAACTGCTATTCCTTCTCCCAAGTGTACCTACAAATAACAACACGAGTTTGTAAAAAATGTTTAAAAGATGTTTACGGTTTAACGCGAGCAAAAGAAACGAAAATATAAAATGCAAGTACAGAACATTCTGAAAGAATAAAGAAAACGACAAGATCAATCTTCCATACTAATATAGACTTTCCTTTCCAGATGTCACGAGCTGTACACTGAATGACAATCTGCGAGGGACGTAGGCGATACCTGATCGATACCATAGTTCAACAAATTAAATAAAATCTTTGAACTTAATTGTACTTCCATAAACTTACGGGTCATTTCGCGTCGAATCGATCATTCTTTGAGTTCGATATTTTCTTATGCCCCGCAAAATTGGGCAGGATGGGGTGTCAGAGATGGAAGGATGTAATAAAAGAAATTTACCACGCCATCTGAAGAGGATTCCTCGAATCCACGGAAAGCAGGCATTGCAGCAGGAGGTGTAGTCCTCATATCTAAGGGTAGCCATTCGCTCCTTGACGGTGAGTTACCCTGCACAGATGGGGACCCATGTTTTCCACCCTTCGTTCCAAGTCGCGGCCTGCCGCGACGTACCCTTCGACCTAAACAAATATTTTCATACTCTTCATGTCACACATTCGCACTTTCTTCTTATATATTCTATTTTCATGAATAACATTAGTTACATTTAACTATGGTTATTGTTCCCTTCCTTTGGCCGTAACAAATTAATTTGAAATTTCTCCCTTACTTTTACGCGCTGTTCCCGTGCTAGTGACATCGTGAACATCTAATAACTTTTTTACTAATTGATCATTGGCGAAGCACTTATCAAAAACTACACTGCGTCTTGTTCCTGACCCTGGAGACATCGATTGACCTATTATTGTTTTTGGAAGAACCCTCTGGTTATACTCTACTGTAGATTTGTGGCATAATAAGTCTTGGCTTCAAATAAATAATTTTTCTAATTGTGTAACACATATAATGTATCAGTAGTTTTACAAATATGTTAAGAAACTTGGAAACCCTTCTAGAAACAGTGAAACTCCATCAGTTTTTGAATGTATCTTATACACCTTGGCAAAACATGGTGCTAGCATTAAGGGGTTTATGGTTCCTCACTCAGAGACACTCCCCACTATGGTGATGTTACTCTCGAAGGCATGGTTTAGATCCCTTCCACAAGTTTTCTGCTCTTTGCCCTGAAAAGCATGCTCGAGTGAGCTATTAGTTGAATTGATCTGCTCCAGAGAATACGAAGGGTCCACTTAGAACTCGAAAATGAGAGAACAGAGGTGTCCTACTTTGCAGAATTTTGCTTATTTTTGGGCATAGAGTAGAAGTTGAAAATCTTATTCAAATTTAAAAGTAGCTAATTTAAATTAATGTTACAAATATATCACTGATTACATTTACTCATTCAGCCTCGACACAAAACTTTCCCCCGACTCTTAATACAAAGTCACGAAACCTTTTCAAATACAATTGGCTGAAAAGATTCTTAATTCCAAGAAGGTGAGAGCTTCAAAAGATTAATTAAACAGAAATTTCTCGTTCTTGAGATCGAAAGAAAGACGAAGAGGTCAAGAGTGGAAAATGATTTTCCTGTAATTAAAAAATACGGTGTACGAATTTTACTTGGAGTCGAACAATTGGACGGCCATTTTTGTCTGATACGAAACAAGCTTTGACATTGCATTCCATTATTTAACATCCGCGAAATAATTAGTATAGTAATTTTGTATGTTGTAAGTTGTAAATTTGTAAATTAATATAGTAATTTTGTGGTATGATGAAACTGAAAAATGCAGGTGAAAAGAGAAGAACTTATTCGTGTGAAACGTACGACAGAATGTCTGGATTGCATGTTGTACGATTTTCTAATTACTTGTATGAAAAATTGATAAAAATATGAAACATGAAATAAGAATATCGAGGTTGATGTACAAATCTGAATATTTTTATTCACTGATATCTTCGCGCTGACAAGTAAAAGGTCGCATACAATTAACGTAGATTAAAACATTGACACGGATACACAGATTGAAAAAAACAGTAGAAACTGTTGTAAAGAAACACGTATCAGCGTGTGTAAATCGTATCAACGTTCTAATCTCGGTAGTTACTTATATTAAATACCTATTGTTAATTTCTCGAAACAGGCTTTATTTCGTCAAGAAAAGTGTTTCTCTAAGTCTGGTTTATATGTATATTTCAAAAAGGAGCTCGAACTGGTAAAAAATTGGAACGGAAAAGAAACTCAGTATCAGACTTACACAGACACTTAACCGATAAGGTTATTAACGCTACTTTAGTCTCCCAACTAAATAGCCTGCCTTTTAATTAATTAATCGTCGAATAACGCTTTACACACAAGTAATTATTCTTTTTAATAAGAACCAATTACGAGTACTTGATTTTCAAAGCGTTTTCCTATTCGATTTGAGAGAAAACGGTAATTAATTTAATTTTCCGTACATTCTCGCAATAAATTAAATTCGAAACTTCAGTTTCGGCAATTTACGTTGTTCGTTTATACATGAAAAATAACCACATCGATTGATAAAAATTCATTTGGAACTAATTCGCGAATTGCTCGTCCATCCCTGCAGCGAAATCCGCTAAAGTACGACTTCTGTTCTTTTTAATTTAAATTTCAAAGTACATACTGTGATTTCACGGAAGTTTATAATATCGCGAAATACAATAAAATAATATGATCGTGAGAAAAAAATTATTATACCATTTTACTACATTAAAGATATTCTTTGACAAGTAAAGAAAATTCTGATAAAAGTATCAGAAAACTATTCGAAACTAGAGTCAGTGACGATTTTGACATTAAAAAATGTTCAATGCCAAAACTTTTTTTCCAATAATCTTGCTATAAAACAATAATGAAAACAATTATTATAAAGGAAATAAATCATCCAACATATATTCGTATTACTATAAAATGGCCAAGTGTGAAAATTTAGCAACAATTTTACCATCGATCAAAAGTTTTCAATTTTTACTTCGATGTTTAGAGTCATTTTGCACGTATGTATAACCTGTTCGAGTGTTACGAACAAGATATATATTTAAAAACATCACAAATCGAATAAAGAAACACGGTCGTTTAGTTTTACAATTTTTATCTTAAACGGTAGATCGAAAAATTGAAAAAAAAAATAGGAACTTAAAATAAGACAAAAGATTTAAACATTTCGTTATCGTGAATGGACATTCGCAAACGATTTAAGTTTATTCGGTGTAAATAGTATTTGATTAAATAACCGTTTGTTATCGAGGTCCTCGATTAAGTATTACGGTAATAGGTTTGCTTAATCAACAAATCAATCAATAGAACGATTAATAAATCAGCTAAGCAATTCAATAAGCGATCGGAAAAGGTACTCTGTCAAAAAACTTTCTAACCAATTTGCAGTCCTGATATTTAATTTTAACTTCTGTAAAAATAAAACTAATATTTACAGCAAATAAATTAAATGAATGACTTAAAATGAATTCAGTGATATTTCGTATACTTCCGTTTTTTAATTTTTGTTTTATAATTTCGTTATGGTCACTGTTTAATTACTTATTATTTATAATTCTGTGAAATATAGAAACTTTCGCCTACCGATATTTCATAGAATGTTTTTGGTTGTTCAAGAAGTAGAAATTTCTACGCAGAAATTTTACACAAATCGGTTTAAAACAATATAGAAGACTGCAAAAGGTTTACAATGTTCTCTACTTCGTTTTCATTACGAATTTCAGCCTGCACAGATAATTGCGTATATTAATTATACAATTTTTCGTCTATACATATTCAAATATTTCCTGATATAAAAAATTCTTTCAAATTCCATGTTTCCGTTTATAATGAAACTTATAATTAATGTCCTACTTTTCATATAAACATAAACCCACCCGTTTTGCACCTTACAAATAAAATTTAACTGCAATTAGAGTAACTAGTACTGTTGTAAAAATAATTGTAAAAATGATTTTTTTTCCAAAAAGTAAAATTGCAATTATCTGCCCAGAAATTCTTATAATCGTAAGTACAAAATCTTATTCTCATTTCTTATCGTAAACATTAGTATGCATTCACATAACAAAAACAAAAACAGAAAAAGCGGTTATTCAGTCGTTCGTGTGAATAATTATAAATTATTATTAGTATTATTATTATTATTATTATTGTGTGTGTGTGTATGTGTGTATGCTATGCATTTGAGACAGTATACAATAATATGTCCTACTAAATAAATTTACATAGATTAAAGCAAGAAAAATTTCTACGTCAGAGGCGAGAAAATTCGAAGGAAATACACTTGGTATTTTCCCTTTTACACATGTACATGCAAACTTTTGAGAAAATATGTCGAAAATTTCGATTCCGATTCCTTCTTTTCTCTTGTTAATGTTATTCGTTCCTCGTAGAAATTTTAGAAATACTTTTAATACAAATTTGAGCGCCTTATGTATGGACATTCTTATTTTGCGCAACTACAGGAAAATTAACTTCGTAGATTTTTTGCAAAAAAAGTCCTCATAGTGTCGCAGACTTCGAATTTTCACTTTTCAAAAATATTTCCCTAACTAATTCTTGTACAAAGACTTCCTACAATATGTTTCACAATCGTTTTTTTTATTTTCGATCTTTGCGGCTGAAACTTTGAAAAAATCCTACAAAATTATTCGCAGAAATCATTGAGTGAATGTTTTCTTCACGTATTTGAGCTGAATATCGTTAATTTTTAAATGCTTGTTTACCTTGCAAAAAACCTAGAAGTCTGGATTACCTCAGAGCTCTCGGTAAAAATTCTATAATCTAATTCTTATGATTTTTCTATAAAAATTTTTGAACCTACTATTTGTAATCCGATGCAAAGACCTTTAGGTACGATATTTGCTATAATACGCTTGAAACTGAATGTTCAGTGTTCTTCAGCTATTTGTTTGCAAGAAACATTGTAACTTTAGTTTTTTTTTCAAATTCCTCTGCTAAAATTCTAAGTTGCAATGTTCTCAATTGTCAGCAAAAATAATATGTCTGGCTACAAAGCTGGTAAATTTTGCAAAAATTTTGGAAAAACATATTAATTTATTTCTTTGCAGAAAGCCTGACACATCATATCGTCTCCTTAACGAAGTTTTTAAGTTCATAATTCTTTACTTTCACGAAAATTGTACTTTTTCTTTTTAGCTCCTGTTCTAAAACATTTAGAGACCAATGTTTCTCGATAACTGCAACCATAACATTTGAAATAATTTTTGTGTAAACATTTTTAAGTAGATTTTTTTGTTCCATCGGAATGTCATGAATGCTAATTTTCTACGTGTAAGCTTTTGCAACAAATTCTGAAGCACAGTAACGTCTCTATTTATGGTAAAGATTTTTTAATTTCGATATCCACGATTATTTTAAAAGTGTATCGGGGTCTATCAATTTTTTGTAAGACATTTCAGAACCTTGTAAATGCAATAATCCCAAATTGTTGCAAAAATGTCTAAAACAGTGTCTTTTCTATTGCTTTCATTCTGCTTTATAGCGCGGATTTTCTTTAATTTACTCAATTGGCTATCAAAAAGTTTGGAGCTTAAT